AAGGAACTCACAGTCGTGTAAGCAGTTGCTGCAGTCTATACACACCTGGAACCAAATTCAAACGAAGAAGGCTACATACACGTAGTGACCTCCGAATATTAACATGGAATACCTCACGGCGTGTAATCATACTGACTCTCTCTACTCCTTAGACCGAAACTGAGCATTGAGTGCAAGCTCTGTTATTTGTCGGTAGAAATAGGCTGGGTACCTACATCGACGGACTACTGTGCAGAGCGGGAGTCCTACCATGTATAAAGTGTTTCTACGTTAGAACCTCTTACTTAAAAACAAAACTAATTTTCTAATAGTAAAGGAACTCTAAGAAAGTATAACCATATGATGAGAGTTCGTTTCTTATCTACAGCCCGTGTTGACAAATATAACGATATTGCATTGCATATTGGAAAAAACAAAACCCAAAAAAAAAAAACAATAGAATAATTTTTGAATTTTTTTTTGATAATGTTTTATATATAATTTTTGAATAAGGAATAACATACCTTAAATACAAAACTTATTTGAATATAGAATCACTATAGTCAAACAACAGCTATTACGTACCTATTACAGTCCAAACTGGCCAGTTCAAACTATAGTTTAAAAAAGCGGGCCAAATGCGAGTCGGACTCGTGCATGAAGAGTTCCAGCTTAGTAATTGGGTCCCGTTGGTTACCCTTTGGGTACGGGACCCTGAAGAGCGACAAATTCATAGGAAAAGACTTAACATACTATTTTTGTTTTATGTAAACGGTTAAGGGCTCTACATTAATAGATACATTACACATTGGCGATCATATAAGTTACTCAACTCAAACTGGGTAGTGACAGTGTAAGAATATCCACTGCCCCATATCGTCCCGTAGGATTTTTAAGAGGCGACAGGGGGAAACTAAAAGAAAAGATATCAGCTACATCCATTTCATAACAACCAAAAATTATAAAATAACGGTGGTTGCCAACTCGCTTGCCAAGCGTGGCGACTGCGGCAAAATACTCTCTATGTGACCTATGCTCAGCATCAGCAGTGGACTTTTATGGACTGTAATGAAAGTCACATCTATTTTTATTTAATCGTTAAGGCCTTCCTCCCATTGCTAACATATTGCCTCTGCTCTACAACTCATAGAGACGGTAATGGCTGATATCTATGGCTGTGTGTCCATGGGTCCCCGTAACTTAAGTTAACTGAAAACATCTTTAATATACAACAAGTTAATAAAACGCGATAAAATCAGTAAAAAGAAACTAATTAGTAATTATATGTATTATTAAATTCAGAAGGACCAACAGCTCTAGATCTGTGGAATTAAGAAAAAACATTACTACCACACTAGGCTTTCCTCCTGTATTTTGGACGTAGTTTAAAAACATAAATTGCACAAGGACAAACAGACAGACCCGGAACAATTATTTGTAGACCATACAAACACTTGTTCTGTGCGGGATTCGGAGTCGCGGCCCTCAGCACAGTAACTCAAGCTAAGCCTCTGCGACACGGAACCGTCGACGTGGATTAAAAGTTATGTGTTTTAATAACGACAACATTTTAACATTCCGCCCATACAAGTATAAAGTAATCTTGTCTAAATACTTTATACGTGGTAGAGCCATGCTGCAGCTATATTAGTAGTATAGTTGTAGCACGAATGGGTCGGCTCGACCGGGGAAGGACCACACTCTCACGGAATATCAGAGCAAAATAGCAGCTTAATGTTGCTTTGTTTCGTATGGTGAGTGTAAAGAACCGAAGACCCTTTTTAATGGAGAAGGGGCATTCCATTTTAGTTCTAACGGGTGACAACGCATCAGTATTTTGATTCCTGAGGATAGATGTAGATGTCTATCGGCCATAGCAACCACTTACGTGAACCAACCAACCAATAAGTGAAATAGTTTCACTTTTTAAGAACAAGTGGTAAATAAAATATTTTGTACAACCGAATTTAATATAAATTATTAAGGATAACTCAAAAACTATTGGTCAGTCCTTGTTCAAATTATATTACACCATATGAGAAGCACCGCTCTCACAGAATACCAGCGTAAAGTAGCAGCTCAATGCTGCTGTGTTTCGTATGGTGAGTGCAGAGAACCGGAGACCCTTTTTACTGAATACGAGGCATTCCATCTTAGTCCTCACGGGTTGTCACCCGCATCTGCATCTTGGTTCTTAATCGAGAATAAATGTCTATAGGTCACACTTTTTCTATAAAAAACAAATAATCAACCAACTCATACCACGAGCGGTGAAATCGACATTTTATATGTGGTAGAGTTTGTATGGCCTACAAATAATTGTTCCGGGTCTGGATGTTGGTCCTTGTGCAATATACGTTTGTAAACTGCCTCCACGATACAGGAGATAATCCTAGTGTGGTGGTAACGTTTTTTAAAAAGGAAAAAGAATAGAAAAAAATTCTGGATCTCCACAACAACGCCACTTACCGAGTCCAATTGTGAATCTCAACCATTCTCTAATCAACTTACACACACACACACACAAAATTGTACATGTAAAAATTATGTGTCAATATATTTACAATTAGAATCTGGTGAAGAACTAAGTATTTTAATGTAATTTAATTGTTATCTGTTATGTTATCCATATAATAATTGAATAAATATTGCATTAGTATAAACTGTATATATTTCAACACCAGGTTAGTGATACCAAGGTAAAGCCATTCCCCGCCACCAGTCCCTTGCTGAATAGAGCCCTCAATACGGCACCACGTGGAGGAAAAGTTGGCCTTTAAAAAAATTGACATCTTTCGCCTTACACCCAATACTTACTCTTAATGACAACTGCATATTACATGGAACAGAGCAAAATATTAGCACTGCGTCCAAACGGAGCACGGGGATACGGTATTACACCCTTTTTCAAAAAATATTTTAAATGAATGCTACAGTGATAGTGAACCACTTTAATTTTTACATATTTTTTTAAACGAATAGTGCCATAAATAACACTTTCCATTTATCGATTTTAAATTTTCGCGGGAAAACGCTAGCCGCCATGCTGTTAAGCTCGTGACGTCACTGCCCTAGGATTTTGTCGATTTTGTAAAGGGATAAGATATTTTTGGATGATTAATAATGAGTTATCATCTTTATCATTGGTGTGCTGTGCCTGAATGCAAAATATAAGCATAAGAACGCCTGGGAAGTTACGGATTCAATTATTCTTAAAATTGAATTATATAAAAATAATGCATTTTTATGAATAAAAATCAACATTTCTCGTTTACTTTTTACAAAACCTGTCATAAATATGTATTTTTTGATATTTTTCCATGGTCTAACATAACCTATTCCCCACAACAACTAACAACTCCTTTAGCACGTTTCCGCCGTCGGGTTCGCAGACATTATTAAAACTAGTAAAAATGAGAGATGGTTTACAAATAATGATACCTAATAATAATCATTTATTTTCTCACCACGTTAAATTGACAAATTTCGATTTTTGACAAAAAAAAATAGGCTCAAAGTAATAAGACTGATGCCTACACTTTTTTACGTGGTAGAACCATGCTGCAGCTATATTAGTGGTATAGTTGTAGCACGAATGGATCAGCTCGCCCGAGGAAGGACCACGCTCTCACAGAATACCAGCGTAAAATAGCGGTTCACCGCTGCTGTGTTTCTTATGGTACGGATGATAACGCATCTGCATTTTGATTCGCAAACGAGGATAGATGTTGATGTCTATGGGCCACAGCAACCACTTACCATCAGGTGGACTGTGTGCTCGTTTGTCACCCTTATTCTATAAAAAATACATTAAGAGACGAACTTGTGTTCCATGTCATCATCATCCATCATCATCACCAGTTGAAAAATAGTTTAAAAATGTAATAAAAATGTTCTCGTTGTATTTAAAAACACGTTATAATTTAATTATCGTGTGCATTTTGTAAGCAATACTCTAATTAGCATTGGAGCAATTCGGCGAACTCTACCTACATTAGGATGTAGAGTCCGCCAAAACTGTCTCAAAGATATGAAAAAATATTATAATTAACAAGTTTACGCCGGGCAGTGACAGATAATGGTGAAAGCATTTAGTTTGTGTAACAACAAATAATAAATTAATTAATTAGAATAGCTACCTAACCAATTTATTTAACTAAGCTTGTAGAAAAGGGTTATTATAATATTAAAGAATTTATTTTTTCATTATTCATAATAACACCTGCTAATAAGTTGACGACTACCAAGGAAGCACTAATTTGTTCAGTGTTTTTAATTGTGTAACTTAAATGATTTCAAACTGTTCTTTTTTAAAAAGAAAATTCCTGCTGGGTTTTTTCTTCCCAGGACAGAGGTATTTTTCAAACCAGCAATAAATTAAGCATGATGAGTGACTTTCAATATGTAAGTATTATTTATAATCTATATTGAATTAAATAAAATTCTTTTTCAGTTTCTATTTCTTCGTCACTTTCTACCGCATTCAATACTTTGTTTTTTATTTATATTAAATCCTGTAGTAGGTATTGTAGGTACTAACTAAAAATATTAATACACATTTGACATATCTACATACATACCTACAGTGCACATTTACTGTTTTTAAAATTATTAAAACGATTTCAAGATGTAAATAAAATTGTAATATGACATTTTAAAAAAACTCAAAAGTTTTTGCTAGTGTTTCTCTGAAAAAGTTCACGGAGAAGATCTTGTTTTTCCGAACCACTATAGATCTTGAAGTTTATAAGAACTTTAAACTAGCCTAAACTGCATTAAAAGTTTTGAATTCGAAATTAATGTTGTAGATGACTCTTGTAATCACACATAATAATAATAATTTATTTCATACTAACATAACAGCAGTCCCTAATTATGTTCATCAATTCATCACAGCCAAGTACACTGCTACACGTAGGCCTCACCCATCACCCATTGATGATTGGCAATGGACTTTAATAGGCTATAATCGTAACTTATAACTATAGTTTTACTACTCCTGAAAATATCAATTTGCGAACCTGATATCGTTCAGAAGCTCTCAGGAAGAAGGGCGGCAGCGCGGCAAGCACTGGATGTTGCACCAACTGCGATACATCTACACCATTCGGTAGAGACATCTCCATTATACAAACTATTATTTTAATAAATTTATTAATTTGGCAAATTCTTTACTTAGTCAAACACACCCGAAAACTATGCGCATTTTATTAACATTGCAACAATAAAAATATTGAAGGTACACTTTAAAATTCGAACGTTTCACTGTCTCTATGTTATAACGTTCAAAAACTTATAAACCTAACTGTCAGTTCATCTGAATATGTAACACGAAAATTTTAAATCGGAACGGGATGTTTGAAAATAGAACGCAACAGTTAACACCGCACCGCTCCGCGTTGTTGCCAACACTGTTGCTTCATTGCCAACACTGACAGATGTGGGCGCGCGAGCGAGACGGAGCGAGAAACGACACACTGTATACATGAACTAGTGCCGTCCTTTTCCTTCTGTAGTCTTAACTGTATTTGTATCATCCGGTTATATAAAATGTAGTCAGATGAGGACTAGAGAGGACCAATGGGAGGCGCGCGCTTCCCGCCTCTAGGCCACCATTGGCGCTCAAACTAAATTTATAAAGGTGACTTTTTCAAGAACGAGTTTTTGTATTACAAAGCGCTATTGAATAAAGCATAAAAAAACACAATTATGTTTGTTAGGAATCTCTTTTATATTTCATTGTTGGCTTTTGTGAACTGTTTAGACTGTACGTTTTTAATGGTCAATATGTTCATGGAGTTTATTCGGCATTAAATAGATGGTTGCGATAGTCGCTGCTCATATTATAAAGTGAGATGCATCGTGACGTGAGCAAACTTTGCGTTGATAGCTCCATTTAGTTTTACTGATATGGTTTTGTGAATGCATAACGAATATCAGTGGGAAAACTTCACTTACAATAGAGCATATTCATTAATGTCTGCCGTAGCTCGGGACTACAATAGGTTCAGTTTCAGATAGCGCGCTGCGAAATACACACAAAAGCTCATCAAAATCTATACCTTGGCAATTAACATAAGATTTATCAATATAGTTATCAATTTATTATATGTCAATAACACGATACAAAAAATAAAACACAGTTTTATATTAATAATTACATCTACAGATCATCATCATCATTACAGCCCTTCACAAGTCCACTGCTGAACATAGGCCTCCCCCAAAAAATGCCACAGAGCACGGTCCTGAGCCACCTGCATCCATCGACTTCCTGCATGTCTTACCAGGTCGTTACTCCATCTCGTGGGGGGACGCCCTACACTTCGCCTACCGGTACGAGGCCGCCACTCGAGAACCTTTCTTCCCCATCGGTTGTCGGTTCTTCGAGCTAAATGACCGGCCCACTGCCACTTCAGCTTACTAATCCGTTGGGCTATGTCGGTTACTCTGGTTCTACTGCGGATATCCTCATTCCTAAGTTTATCACGCAGAGAAACATCTACAGAAATTGCTATTAAAGAACTAATAAATAAGTAGGTACTGTTAAGTTTGCTACCGACTTAAAGTAGGAGGTAGTCATTTCGACGGTATGTTTTTTTTATGTGTGTTACCTCATAACTCTTTTCTTATTGAACCGATTTCGATGATTCCTTTTTTTTATTTCAAAGCTGGTGCTTCTCAAGTGGTCCCATATAAATTTGATCAGGATCTGACCAGTAATTTTTGAGTTATCCTTAATAATTTATATTAAAGTCGGTTGTACAAAATTTTTAATTTTACCACTTGTTCTTAAAAAGTGAAACTATTTCATTTATTGTTGCAATTTTTTTGGAGTTTGGGTGACAAACGAGCACACAGTCCACCTGATGGTAAGTGGTTGCTGTGCCCCATAGACATCTACATCTATCCCCAGGAATCAAAATGCTGATGCGTTGTCATCCGTTAGGACTAAGATGGATGGAATTCTCCGGTTCTCTACACTCACCATTCGAAACACAGCAGCATTAAGCTGCCATTTCACGCTGGCATTCTGTGAGCGCGTGATCCTTCCCCGGTCGAGCCGACCCAGTCGTGCTACAACTATATCTACCTACAACTAATATAGCTGCAGCATGACTCTACCACGTATAAATCTTAACAGATAGTGTAAAGTCCGAATCATTGATATATTATTACGGTCAAAATGCAATGCAGTTTGTATTTATCATTTAAGCCTTAAAAAAATGTTAATATTCAATTTCTACTAAACCTGCCATCATTCTAAAACTGGTAGGTACCTAAATAGGTCGATTTAAAATATTTACCGTGATTTCTACGTCTAAGTGGCGAATTCAAAAATCTTATTTCTAAGAATTTAGCCGTCATGTATAAGGTTGCCAGTATTCAGTCTGAAGTTCACTACGTCGTCCTAAATGACGCCAAAGAAAAATAAATTTGAAAGAGTATCTGCTTAACAAATGGATGTCAATGAATGCCTCTTTCTTATAATTTTATTTGCGTTTTATTTAGCATAATAAACTAAAAACATTCCTGAGACTTGGCATGAAGGAATTGTAGGGTCAACTTCTAAAGCTACAAAAAATATGCTAAATTAATAAGAAATTTAGGCACGTTTTCATCTTTTTTTATAGAATAAGGGTGACAAACGAGCACACAGTCCACCTGATGGTAAGTGGTTGCTGTGGCCCATACACATCTACATCTATCCTCGTTTGCGAACTAAAATGCAGATGCGTTGTCAGCCGTGAGCACTAAGATGGAATTCCTCGTTTCCAGTAAAAAGTTCTCCGGTTCTCTACACTCAATATCAGCTTAATTCCGTATGGTGAGTGTAGAGAACCGGAGACCCTTATTGGAAATAAGGCATTCCACCTTAGTCCTCACAAGGGTCTGCATTTCAATACTTAATCGAGGATAGATTTGTAGATGTCTATGAAGCCCAGCTTCCACTTATCATCACTGGACCTTTACTATAAAAAAGTACAGGACGCGGAGCTCCGTCGCATTACGGCAGCCCTGTCGCAAATGTTTCACGGATCTCGAAATAATAATATCACCATCAATGAAACTCAAATTGATTCGAACGTCGCGAGGGGGGTACGGGGTGCGCGGGGGGGTGGCGAATTGAAATATTTCAATTTACTTGTCGCCGGGAATTCGATTTAAATTATAATGAGAGGCGACACGGGGCCATGAGCCGAGCGGGGGCGGGGGCCACCCCCCGGGGGTGACGGGGAACGCGCGGGGTTGCGGGGATGGTGTAATTATTAATGTATAACTGAATGTCTGCACGTATCGAGAATTAAAAGCGATCAGCACGTTCATATATACAGAGTGTGTGGAAATACCGCCGCTTCGAGAGCACTAACGGTCGAAGTTTCTATGCCTAGGTGTAGGCACTGTACAGTTTTATGATATTCAAAGTCTAGTTAATTGATTATTATTGTAGTATTTATTTAATTTTATTATTAGCAACAATTATTTATAAAAACTGTATATTTGTTTCTTTGGTAATGGCTCGTACCTACTGTTGTATTTTGCCAGTAGGTATCAAGTAATAAAAAATATCGTTGTTAATTTAAAAAAAAATTCTTCACATTATGTTGATGTGTCATATTGCAAAGGTTTCGGAAGATTTGTTTGGGAGAATTGAATTGAATTTGAATCAGCAGATAGTCGATAGCATGTCAAGGCGCTAAACAGATTCAATAACTTGACTTTCAATTTAACTAGCTAGTCCCACAGGTGGTGTTTAGTAGGTAGGCGCTTCTTAGTGAGTCCTACATAACCACGCAGCTGGCTGCCGTGGTATGCTATGAGCATTCACCATCTCCCCCGCTTCCGGAAGGTAACCTTGTTTTCCCGCTAAAATTAAAAAATGGCGGTTATACTACAAAACTTATCGATAGTTTGGAGTTAAAACTATAGTTTAAGAACAAATACAAATGTTTATTGACAGTTTGAGCCTGAGACTATCAACTAACCACGTTTTGTAATAAGACCGTACCTTTTTAAGGACTTAAATAGAGAGAGTTAGAGGATAGCACTTATCTATGATTACCTAGATTATATATTATGTTCAAGATTTAAATAGACATCTACAATCTTTTATTTACATGGTAGAGCCATGCTGCAGCTATATTAGTAGTGCCTACCTATACCTACTTAGTTGTAGCACGAAGGGGTCGGCTCGACCGGAGAAGGAACACGCTTTCACAGAATACCAGCGTAAAAAAGCAGCTTAACACTGCTGTGTTTCGTATGGTGAGTGTAGAGAACCGGCGACGCTTTTTACTGGAAACGAGGCATTCCATCTTAGTCCTCACGGGTGACAACGCGTCTGCGTTTTGATTTTTTATTAAGAATTGATGTACTTAGATGTCTATGTGTCACAGTAACCACTTACCATCAAGTGGACTTTGTGCTCGTTTGTCACCCATCCTAAAAAAAAAAACGACCGACGAATTGTGCAACAGTTTTATTCAATTTCTAACATTATTAAACCAATTTAACCAAATTAAAAAATACATCCATACATACATTAATAAGTCATTCCGCTTAGGAAACCTACCATAGGTACCTACTTCTGACGCTGAACAATAGTGCTTGCACGACTGCGTTCCGGTCTACCTATAGAGTGCCAGTAGGTGTAGCATCTTTAAATAAATTAAGTAAAAATATGAAAAAAATAATAAAATAAAAATATGAACATAATCTACCTAATTTAAAAGTACAATTTTAATGACATTTCAAATTCACAATAATCAAACCTGCTCTCTTATTTCCAATTATACGTCATAATATACTTACATCTTAGTTAATTAAAAGACATAAATTGTTTTTACATAGGTACTATAATGTACTTACGAGTACAGTTCCCTTGGTGTTGCAGTTGTTCGTGGGCGGCTGTCGACGCTTACCATCAGGTGAGCCGCACGCTCGTTTGCCTCTTCTATAAAAAAAATTATCTACCTGTACATAATATCATAAAATAAAAGGTATGTAGTTACATGTACCATTAAAATATTTCATTTCAATAAAATATTTGAGTTTAAAACAATAGCTATCGTAGAGACAATAATCATTAAAAAAAATACAAAAACCTTGCTCCCTCATTCTAATA